CGTGGATTCTGTGCTTCTCCGCTCTTCCTCCAGACTCTGGGTCCTTGATTTCCAAAGGAAATGCAGAACTTGCTTTCATCAGAAAACATAACTTTGGACCACTCAGCATCAGTCCAGTCCTTTTTGTCCTTGGCCCAGGCGAGACGCTTCTTGCGCTGTTTCTTGTTCAAGAGTGGCTTGACACACGGAATGCGACACCTGAATCCCATGTCTTTCATGAGTCTCCTCGTGGTGGTTCTTGAAGCGCTGACTCCAGCTGCAGTCCACTCTTTGTGGATCTCCCCCACATTTTTGAATGGGTTTGTCGTCACAATTCTCTGCAGGGTGCGGTTATCCCTAGAGCTTGTACACTTTTTTCTACCACATTTTTTCCGTCCCTTCGCCTGTCTGTTAATGTGCTTGGACACAGAGCTCTGCGAACAGCCAGCTTCTTTAGCAATCACCTTTTGTGTCTTGCCCTCCTTGTGCAAGGTGTCAATGATTGTCTTTTGGACAGCTGTTAAGTCAGAAGTCTTCCCCATGATTGTGGTGCCTTCAAAACAAGACTGAGGGACCTTTTAAAGGCCTTTGCAGGTGTTTTGAGTAAATCAGCTGATTAGAGTGGCAGCAGGTGTCTTCTATATTCAGCCTTTTCAGAATATTCTAATTTTTTGAGATACCAAATTTGGAGTTTTCATTAGTTGTCACTTATGAATATCAAATTTAAACGTAATAAACATCGGAAATACATTGGTCTGTGTGCATTGCATGAATATAATGTACAAGTTTCACGTTTTGAATGGAATTACTGAAATATTTTCAACCTTTTGATGATATTCTAATTTACTGGCCAGCACCTGTATATGAAGCCAGGTAGCAGTTTCTCTTTAGGATTGAGAGGAGATGCAGGAAGATAATAAACAGGCAGGACAGAAAAATAGTCAAATAAAAACAAGTTAGTTTTTGTACCTGCTGGTTGCAACAAACAGACACCATTGAAGGTAATCAGAAGTGAGGAACAGAAAATGAATAATTATTTTAATGTTTAGAGCAGCAGGAACTCTGAGAGGCTGCAGGCGCATCAGTTTGCTGCTGCTGCGCAGGGGGAGGGGGGAGAGAACTGAAGTAGGATGCAGAAACTACCGTTGTTAAAAGAGATGTGTTAACTTAGAAAATGTGGGCGCAATTTTAATTGTCAAAAACTCCAGCGAACCTACCGACCTATGTGTGTGTATATATGTATATATGTGTGTGTATATATGTATATATGTGTGTGTATATATGTATATATGTGTGTGTATATATGTATATATGTGTGTGTATATATTAGGGCTGCAACAACGAATCGATAAATTCGATGAAAATCGATTACTAAAAGCGTTGGCAACGAATTGCGTCATCGATTCGTTGTGTCGCACAACTCTTCCAAAAGCGCCCCCCCTTCCCGCCCGCCGTTGCGCGCAGACCAGAGCAAGTCAGATCAGCGCGAGGGAGAGCCGCAGATCAGCGCGAGGGAGAGCCGCAGATCAGCGCAAGGGAGAGCCGGCAGATCAGCGCGAGGGAGAGCCGCAGATCAGCGCGAGGGAGAGCCGCAGATCAGCGCAAGGGAGAGCCGCAGATCAGCGCGAGGGAGAGCCGCAGATCAGCGCGAGGGAGAGCCGCAGATCAGCGCGAGGGAGAGCCAGCAGACTTGCGCTGCTGCGAACCGGTTCCGCATTGTTGCACAGCGATCCAGGCAGCTGCTTCCAGCGCACGGTCCATTCTCAAAGTGGCGCAACCAAAAAACTATAATTAGCACACGATCGTTCATGTCCGCACATGTTCTCTATTTTCTGTCTTATTTGTGCCTGAAGCGCGCTACTGCGGAGCTCATCACCTGTGCTGTGGTGATGTCACCTCACGCAGCATCGAAAACGCGCTCTGCGCTTTTCGGTCAGGAGATCCCTTTGACCTGCTCAAAAGTAACTGATGAGGTGAAAAGGTAAGAATCCAGGCAACAGATTTTCTGGAGAATTAAGAGGAGATGCAGGAAGATGAGAGACAGACAGGACAGGAAAATAGTTCAATAAAAACAAGAAAACAAAACAAAGTGTTGAAAAGTAAAATGTAGGTAGATTTATCTCCACTACACGTTTTTACCAGTAAAAAACAATAAGTTATACACATGTCATATTTATACATCTGATACAATTCAGATCACCTTCAAAACTCAGTCACACACCCAGGGCCGTTTCAAGACATTTTGGGGGCCAAGGCAAAATGCCCCCCCCCCCCCCCCCCCCCCATAACTGGGCTCCCCAGAAGCCTCTGTGTAATTCATGCCCTCTCCAGTAGTGTTAGTTATATGGTGTTTATAAAAGCCCCTCAGACATTACTGACATGCTCTAATATTATAAGATGAAAAACTAAATTATCAGACATGCTGTCTCATCTGCTTATTTTATAAACTTGCAAAAAGTAACAAAACCATTTGAAAGCCACTATTTGTGGATTCTCTGAAAGTTTCCATGGAGTGTGTGACAACTTATTTTTTCATTGATCCTATCGTCTAATCTCACAGTTGAAACAAGCATCCTTAATAATCTGTGCACAGGAAGCTTACCGATGCTGTAGTAAAACAAAAGGTATAATAATTTATTATTAATAAAACCTTGTTGCAGCACTAAAGCAGAAAAATTAGATTTTGCATTAAATATGCAAAATATTTACATATGAATTGTTTTAGAGCCCTTTAATTGGCAGAATCTGATATTAATTTAGTTCTTACAAAAAATGGGTCCCAACATGGTTTGTGTGGCGTTGCCATAGTGTGACGTCATAGGCACAGATCCCCTGTCCTCTTGTTTGGAAATGGAAATATGGTCACCCTACATTAAACAAACTGTCCACCCGGGCTTTTGCGCTGCACAGAGACGCTTCGCTGCCTACGACTGAATGTCAGTTGAGAGTCAGTCTCATGCAGACTGACCAATGAAGAGAGGGCCTCAAGTTAAGACCCTCTCCTCATTGGTCAGTCCACACGAGGTGGGTCAAAGGTTACTCTGGGTGGGTTACGTGTTGTCAGGCATTCAAGTATTGAGTATATTTACTGCATATTACAGTAAAATATTCTGTATGTGACCACATTATGGTGATCCTTGGGTCGTGATGATGGAGCCCTTGAATATTGTTGCCCAGGGTACAACAAAGTGTTAATCTGGCCCTGGTTCCGCCGTCACATTCCCGCAGAAACTGGTTGATCACACCGGGGCCAGACTACTAGCATGTGGTTTTACAACCACAATGTCCTCAGAAGCAAAAACGCTTTTAAAAGGGAGGGAGGAGTCCTAACTGTTGCTGCAGGCGTGTTGTGTGAGAGTGCAGTTATATACTGGTTAATATATTTTTGGGTTCAGTTGCTTTCATGTGGCCTAATGTGAGTCTATTTGGGATCATTGGAATGATCAGCAGCATTTCTTGATGTGACTTTATGGCAGTTGCCCAGGGCATCATCGCAAGGAGGATGGCATTCATTTACTTTTGTTTTATTTGGTATTTTTTCAGTCATTTTTGGAACTGGTGATCAATTTTGATAAATTCACAGCCTATGTTTAATTACATTTAAAATAAATGTCAACAGATGAGATCAAACAAAACAGATGAGAATTGCCCTTAAGCTGTTTAACTTGGACCAAGCATTTTAGGTCACAGATAGATGTAGCTTAGGGTCTCTGTCTATACACCTTATAAGACAATTTAGGTGATGGCATGTTGTTTTTCTGCTATTGAACTGTTTTCTAATAATGTTGTGTTAAATAAAGTGAAGGAAGGAGAGAAATAACATTTCCCTAGCAGTTTTTAAAAATTTCCCCATGTAATCCGATTAATCGATTAATCGTGTCGAGACCCCATCCGATTAATCGATTATCCAAATAATCGTTTGTTGCAGCCCTAGTATATATGTATATATGTGTGTGTATATATATATATATATATATATGTGTGTGTGTATATATGTGTGTATATATATGTGTGTATATATATATATGTATATATGTGTGTGTATATATATATATGTATATATGTGTGTGTATATATATTTGTATATATGTGTGTATATATATATGTGTGTGTATATATATTTGTATATATGTGTGTATATATATATTTGTATATATGTGTGTATATATATATATGTATGTATGTGTGTGTATATATATGTATATATGTGTGTATATATGTGTGTATATATGTGTGTGTATATGTGTGTGTATATATGTGTGTATATATATATATATATATATATATATATGTGTGTGTGTATATATGTATATGTGTGTGTATATATGTATATATGTGTGTATATGTATAGAGATATAGATATATAGATGTATAGAGATAGGTGTGTCTGTGTGTGTGTGTGTGTGTGTGTGTGTATATATATACACACACGCACACACACACATACACACACACACACACACACACACACACACACACACACACACACACACACACAAAGCATGTCGGCGTGTGACAATGAAGACTAAATGAGTCGGAGCTCTGCTGAGTGCCACGTCTGCATGACTGATGAACTTCTTTTTGCATGAGATTTACATAAAGGATCATGTTACACGTGCCTGTTGTGCATTAGCTTTGCTGGAGGAGTTGCCTTCCTTCTGGGACGGCCCCTGTCTATTGTTTAGATACACCTGTTGTTGAACAGGTTTGGTGAGTTACACGATCGGGCGAGTTGAAAGCGATGCTCAGAAGTCGATGCCTGTGAGAAAGAAGAATGATTATTTTGAAAGTGGCATCCAGAAGTGCTCCTCTTTCCCACCCCACAGTTTTTTTATCTTTCTATTTTCATGAAGACTTTATGGAAATGAGTCCCAGTGGATGGGAGTGGTCGACCTTCTGCTCTGATTGATCCTGATCTTGGAGCTTGACCATTTTCCCTCTCAGATGTTTGAGATGAACTTAATCATGGAGTGTTTATTTCCACACCTGCTGCTGCTGTTACCGTTTCCTGTCTTTCACAGCACCTCCCCACACCGCTGGAACTGTCGACCTATACGATTTGAACCTCCAATGTTGGACTTTCATGAACAGTAAGTGTTTCTCTTCAGATCTCTTTTTTTTTTGTTCTTGTTCAACCTCCTCTCTCATTTTGACAGTGTGCCCTCTGCCAGTCACATTTAGTTTGTTTCTCTAAGTTGCCCTTGTACGGAGATGTGCTCCGGGTGTGAGCGATAATAAAGCTCCCCATAACGCAGAAAGCTACACTTACTTTGAGTTAAAAAATAAAAGGGTCCCTGTAGTATTTTTTCTTTCCATCTAAGCTATGCTAGGAGCACAACCAAACACATAGCCTCACCTACACAAGACTCACATTCCTTGCTGATAGTGGTGCATACCTGCATTGTGTGAGCAGGCTGCAGATCTAGGGGTCATACTGAAGGACCCAGCTGTGTCAGCCCGTCCTCTGTTTGACGTTCCTTCACAAACAATCTGCTTATCAGCTCTGAATGTTTTTGTGGCCTGAAATTGAAACATTGAAATGTTCTCCTGTTGAATGTGCTTCCTGTTAAAATGTTTCTTAAATAGAAGAGTAAAAATTCTTTACTCGATTTGCCATTCCAGCTTTCACATCTGTACGACCTGATTTCCATACCATATCATTTTCATATCAGCCACATGCAGCCTAGGGAGTTAGGAAATCAAAGAGTTTGTGGTTCGCTTTGAATGTTAGATTAATAATGTGGAGATGGTAACTTTCCACCGTCAAATATTCTCTCCCAAGTTGATTTAACTTTCAGGTTTTTCAGTAAAGGGACCCCTGAGCCTGTTACTGTGTACTTGTACAGAATGAGTTTTAGAATAACTGATCTGCATCACATGTCATCTGTTATTGCCACTTTATAGCAATGCTCTTGTTTTAATCACAAATGGTTATATTTACAAAAGCCTGTTTGTCTTTCGTTCCAGGCCTGTTGGAATGCCAAAAATGGATAAAGTTTATTTACATAATCCTAGCTCAGAAGAAATTAGTTTGATATCTATATCAGCAACAACGGCACATTTTCACGCCTCCTTTTTCCAGAATAGGGTAAGTAACCAATACTTGTGTTTGTTGTGAGAAGTCTGACAAATGAGCAAGTCATCTGTGACATAAAAGAAAATATACTTTTGTATCTTCAGACACACTGTTGGGTGTTGATAACATGTTGATATGTCCCCTGTGTGCTTCATGAAGCTTCACTTTTTATCAGAGCTGTGGTTTGTGTAAATGCGCTGTACCAGTTAGACTGGGTAAAGAGATTAAACAGTTGCTGTCACAATTGTATAATTTCTCTTTTCACTGAATATGATCATAATAAACTGATAGGTAGCAGCATACAGAACCCGATAGCTAACAGTGTGAAGAGTCTTGCACTCAATGCTAACACATGGTTATGCTAACTGCTTACCTTAGTTTTAACCAAAGCTGGGGAGAGTTGCATAAAGTAGACCAATTATGACTGTTTTTTAAAAAGTTTAAATGGTCCTATGGTCTATAAAAACATGTTTATGAAGTTCTTTGGAAAGTCAGAAGATTTGTTTGACATTTTCAGTACCCGAATCAGCCAAAAATTAAACTACAAAATCTGATGTAAAAACAAGATGCTGTGTTCAAAATAGCACTCGTGTGTTTAGCTGTTTACTCTTTAAAAACAATAAAGCACTGAAATATGAGAATTTTTGTAGTATAAAGGAATACAGAGATGTCAAAGTATCTGACCTTGTACTGACAAAACTACCAGTTGTACACTGTACAGTTGAGACAAACGTCCTCCTGTAGCAAGATTTTGTGCTGAATTCTGGGCTGTAGGAAGGAATAAATATTACTGAGAAGCTCATAGCTAGCTGAAAATGAAAAATAACATGCACTGCTTCAGTGATCTTTGATTTTTCAGCTCTGGTACATAAAAACACGAAGAGTTCATATTGTTCATAAACTGCTCAGGTAGAAGGGGTTCTGCCATGTTGTCATCCAGCTCAGGCTCAGAACTTGGCACCTACCTTTATTTACTTCTGATAACCCCGCCCTCTAACACACCTGACCAACCAGCAGACCGAAATTTCCCACGTGATATATTTTGGTTTGTTTGTAGTTTTTTCTGTGTGAAAAGAAACCAAACCAGGAAAAAGTTGCAAGTTAATGATTTTCATTAACTGATTTGGACCGAAGAAACTGAATTACAGGTTTTAAAATGCTAACAAAGTTACATAAATGGTACCCTAATATTTATTAACATTTGTTGTGATTTCTTAGGTCTTTCAGTTTTATTAAAGTGCTACTGATGGTTATTATCTGCTTTGAGAGTTGCTTTCCTGGTGAGTGAACGCTGGCGCGTCTGGCTGCCGCTGCTCACCGGTTGTTAGTTGTTTTTACGTTACTTTTATACATTTTTATACATTTTTACGCTATTTTGGATACCTACCTGAACTGTTATTCGAACCTTTTCGAAAACCTTCCCATCTGACTGACATAACTGCCTGTCTGAGGGGCTTAAACACGCTCGTTCAGCCTCAACAGTCAAACAAAACCAGGATCACATACAAGATCCTACTACTTACATTTAAATCTGTACATAGCATGGCTCCACTTTATCTATGTAACTTACTAACTATTGCTACCACTTACCGATCTCTTAGATCCTCATCTGCACTTCATCTGGTTCAACCTCGAGCTCGCCTTACCACCATGGGGAGCAGAGCTTCCAGTTGCTCTGCTCCCCGGCTCTGGAACTCACTTCCCTCTGCCGTTAGAAATACGGACTCTCTTCCATTATTCAAGGCACACCTCAAACCCACTTATTCAAACAAGTTTATTCCCTTTAGACCTAGACTTTAGAATTGTTTCAAATTTTTATGTATCTTTTTGTTCTTATTGCCCTAACCTCTGTTGTTTTTTGTTTTTATCTTTGTAAGGTGACCTTGGGTTTGAGAAAGGCGCCCTCAAATAAAATGTATTATTATTATTATTATTATTATTATATTCCTCCATTAAACTATAATTGTTATTGCCTAGAAAACGCGTTTGTTTCAGCCATTTGATCATCTGATGATTGAAACCCTGGAGATGACCTTGCAACTCATTTTATGGTCTACTGTCGATGGTTTGTTTTGGTGAGAGAGAGAAGTTGAACGGGATTTGTAGAATAAAGTAATCAAATGGAAAGTGTTTGAGGTTGGAACAAGACGTGTCTGGGGGTTCAGGAGAAAGTTAAAGTTAAATAGAATTTGGCTTCTTTCTTTTTCTTGTCTTTATTTCCACTTTTGAAGGCAGATGGAAGCAGAAGATTTTTAATAACATCTAAGATGAGCTTAGATGTTATCTGTAGTGTGTGTGGTTAGTGTGTTTCTGCTCACATGTTGGTAATGTCCTTGTTCCCCTTGTTTTGCTGAGTTGAGCTTGTTTTCAGAAGTGAACAGAAGTTGTTTCAACACTAGCTGACAGTAAAAAAAAACAAATCAGTTCTTCCTGTTTCTCTGATCTGATATTGTTGCTATAAGCGTTAGGTTGGAGTCATGAACACGTGCTTACACCTGCTTGGACAGTCCCATCAGTGTATTCCTTTGGTTCACATTAGCTCGAGGTTGAACCAGATGAAGTGCAGATGAGGATCTAAGAGATTGGGAAGTGGTAGCAATAGTTAGTAAATTACATAGATAAAGTGGAGCCATGCTATGTACAGGTTTTAATTATCTAATTGTGTGATGATAGACATGTATAGGCTGCTTTGTATTGTTTTTAGGGTCAACTCACAAATGACCCATTTTTATCTGTATTTTAAAATGGGCATGAAGCTCTAGAGTTGGTGATATTTTGAGTGTTTTTTTTTTGTCATTTCCTTAAATATCTCTGAGTTGGGTCAAACAAAAGGTCTTACCTAAAGGAAAAAATCAAAGTTGTGACTAGCAGCTGTGGCTTAGGTTATCACTTTGTAAATGTTTTAACGCTAAATGAAAGTTTGACAGTTTAGTTTGTCCTTTAGATTGATGCTGTTTTATTGCTTTCTATTTTTGGTTCATTCCACGTAGTAAAAATTTTTACTGCTTTTTAAAACTTCGTACATTTTCTTTATAAAGTTCTCAAGAAGGCTCCTGATCCTGAAAACATGTCCTGATACACGAAAAAACACAAAAACTTGATGTTATGTTTCTTATCACATCATCTTTTGTTTTGGATTAAGTGAGAAATTTGTTTCTCATAATTTTTATAAAATCCTTTGACATTTTCATAAAAAATATTGATATCACAAAGTCTCTCTAGTCCCATGTATGTGGTAGTCACTGTGATTAATTTTCGTTTATTGAGAGCGTTCTCTCTGTAGATAGCTTTAATTTAGCGAATGGGACCATTAGCACACATTCCAGGGAAATCAGCAGGAAAAACTCTGAACAATCATCAGAACCCAAATATCAAAGTGGGCATGTAGCTTTAATGTTTTCATAGCAGCAGACCTTTAGGTTGTGTTTTGGAAGTGAAAGCTAAGATTATTGATGTTGGTCTCTTTTTGAGTGTCACTATGGCGTAAATCACCTCTCTTCTGTTCTTTTTACAGATAATCCCACCTGGAGGGAACACCTCATTTGATGTGGTGTTTCTGGCTCGTGTTGTTGGGAATGTAGAAAACACTTTATTTATAAACACATCACATCATGGAGTGTTTACATACCAGGTATGACAATACCTAACAAACACATTTTTTTCTCTTCAGTGACTAATGGGGCCTGTTTCATCCCTGCCATTCAGGTTTTTGGGGTTGGTGTCCCAAACCCCTACAGACTGCGACCCTTCATTGGGGCCCGGGTCCCAGTGAACAGCAGCTTCTCTCCACTTATAAACATCCACAACCCGTACAGCGAACCTTTACAGGTAACTTGAGCCCTTTTTAGAAGACACACCATGTGGGCAAATTGGCGTAATACTGCCGCCACGGTGTGTCTTGCGAACGCGCCGTGGCGGCATGTCGATGTGGGAATTTTGCGGCATTCATGCCGCCACACTTGGTAGTAATATTGCCACAATGCTGGACTTGTTGATGCATATTATGCCTTGATGCAACCGAGGGAGGTATCATGATCACGTGGGGAGTCGGCAGCAACCATATTGAAAATAAAGTAAACATGGATAGTAATGTGACAGTGTGAGCGTCCTCACTGTGACCCGATTGATTATGCGCCCTGGTTACTTGGCCAAGGGGATGTTCCTTTGGCTGACTGGTTAGCACACTTGACTCTCACCCAGGAGTCTGGGGACTGAATCCCACCCGGGCCCTCCTTTCTTCACCTTGCCGCAGTAAGTTTTGCTTTAGTACACAGAATCAGCTGAGATGATAAACTGAAGTGCTGCAGAGCTCTTCGTTAGAGCTGGAGATTGGATTAACAGAGAATGCGCAGGGCTGGGGTCACCAACATGGTGCCCCCAGGAACCATGTAAGGTGCCCACAGGCCATTTCTCCAATTAATAGCACAAGTCTAAAATACATCTGCTACCTTTTTTAATCACAAATGCATTAATATAGATTTAAACTACAATTTTCTTTAAATACATTCAAATTTGTTTACATGAAGTTTAATTTAACTCCGATCTGGTTCAAAGGTCACTGTTGTATCAACCTGGTAGCCCTTTGTGTGTCAACACCCATTAAGTAGCTCTTACCTTCACTTAGGTTGGCGACCCCTGGCATAGGGACTTTGGAGGACAGACATTTAAATGAACGTAGCTTCGGTCGCAATTAAAATCAAGTTATGTCCAAGATAAACGGAAGTCCCCTGCAGCACAGAGACCCCCCCCCCCTTTTTTTTTTTTACCACAATTGCATAATCTTTTGTAAAAAGGACATGATTGCGCCACATTACCGCCATGATCTGACCACTTGACAACGACCCACGGCTGCCTGATGCCGACTCAGCGTTGCAGCAAATTGGCAGCATTGTTTTCTAAATGAGGCTTTAAAGTCACTACTTTTGTTGACTTCTGCTTATGTTTACTGTGCTGCTTGTTCTCGGTTCAGGTTGTTGAGATGTACTCCAGTGGAGGGGATCTGCATCTAGAGCTTCCCACAGGCCAACAAGGAGGCACTGGTAAACTATGGGTGAGTTCTTCTTGTTTATTGTGTCGTCTTTTTTTGGAGGAGGACGACCGATCAAAGGATGTCCCGGTTTCCTTCTCCAGGAGATTCCTCCGTTTGAGACAAAGGGGGTGATGAGAGCTAGCTTCTCGTCGAGAGACGTGGACAACCACACAGCTTTCATCAGAATTAAAACCAGTGCCCCAAACGAGGACCAGTTCATCATCCTCCCAGTGGAGGTGGAGGTCACGTCAGGTGTGCTACTTTACTTTTTATGTCTAGTTTTCCTCACGCATTACACTACTTTTATTATTCCACCTGTTCATTGCAGCCCCCGGCATATACTCCTCCATAGAAATGCTTGACTTTGGTACTCTTCGATCACAAGGTAGGTGCAGTTACAAGAAGCTACTTCTCATATCTTACTTCCTCTCTGATTTGACATTCTGCTCTTTCCAAAACCACTCTGTATTCCAGATCGTCCAAAGCTGCTGAATCTGCATCTTTTAAATTCAGGAGCAAAAGACGTACCTATAACGGTGCAGTTTTTTTTTTAGCTAACTCTTTAAGCCCTCTCCCTTTAGGTATTCTCTTCACTTTAGTGATCTTATGTTCTCTTTGTACTTTTCAGAGTGTTCGCTCAACACCGTCAAACGAAGCAGTTACAGTAGACTTCAAAGCAGTTACACTCAAAGCTGGAGAGAGTCGATATACTAAAGTTGCCAGCATTAGTTTTGATGGTGAGCGATGCTTTTCTCTTTCTCTTTGATGGATCCACCAAACACTTGTTTTCACAAGGAAAATGATGTCAGCTTCGCCCTTAACGGTGATCAAAAATACCATCTTAGGAAGCCTGAATGTGTTTTTAAAAACATTGCACTTACTGGAAGTACATTGATAAGAAATGTGTTATTATTAAAATATAAAGTGCTCAGCATAAATGAGTACACCCCACTACATTTGTCAGAAACCTTTAGTTTACTTTCAGAATCAACCTTTTCTGTGAGATACCGTACTATAAAATACTCCCACAAATGTGAGACGTTGATTGCAAACAAGATTTGTTTATTTATGCACACAAAAAAATTATTTCCCTAACAAATTCATTCAAGCCCATGTTGCAAAAATGAGCACACCTCAGTTATAGTCTTAGGAGAAAAGTCACACTTAAGATAACACATTTCAGATAACGGGCATTCAACCACAGGTGAGTCCAATGATTCATTTAACCCTCCCACTGTCTTTATGGGGGACCCCGCGAGGAAAGTTGACCATTGAGCAGGATTGATGGTTTATCCCTTGAGGTCCACGTGGCAGGGGTGAGGTGGTGCTCACTCCTCACCCCTGGCACGTGGACCCAAGCAGCCAAAGGAAGTGTGAGCTTTGGGAATAACCGTAGAGTTTCAGTTACTGGAACGTAAATTGCGCTGGTTGTTGGAAGTGATGAGTAATGAGGGAAGATATGGCGGGGTTCTACAGAAGACTGTTTTGAAAGTGGCAAATCAGATTCGTAGTGTTGAGCACAGCTCTACCTTTTCCACCACATTAATTACCCAGTTTGCACACATTCCAAGTGTCTGTTACACACTACGCTGTCTGGTTTAAAATATGTCCAAGTTGCAGATATTTTCCCTCTCCTCCACTCTACTTCTGCATTAGCCTGCTAGCTAACAGCTACATGTTGTGATGTCTGAATCCCTGCCTGCCTTAATTTATGTGACTTTATGGTGTTTTTGTTCAAACAAAAAATATTAATGTACAGTGATCCCTCACTACTTCACGGTTCGTTTATCGCAGATTCACGACTTCGCAGATTTTTTCTTTGGAGCCTTATTCAAGGGAAATTTGCGGTATTTTTCTATGCGAAATATCAAGAAATTCCTGTTTTTTTTCATTAATTTCATCATAAAATGCACTTTTTTTTAAATAAAACTATAAAAAAAACAAGTAAAAATTTTTTTTCTTCAGTTTTACCCACAAAAAGAGAATGTGATCATACGATAATTCAATATAGTACTGTACTGTACTTCGCGGATTTTTACCTATCGCGGCCAGGTCTGGAACGCATCTATCGCGATAAACGAGGGATCACTGTAGAGGAACCTGTTGGACTCTAAACTAAGCCGTTGTTATTCGATCTGAAAATCTCTCTCAGGATGAATTTAACGAGTCACATTTGTTTTATAAGGTTAATTTGGATCCTTTCCACCCCATTCTGATCTTTTGAAAATCATGTGATTGGGTTCTAATGTCTGATCACGTGATCTGATTGGAGCATCTCTATTTCAGTTTTTTTTCGATTGCTAAAACGCGTTTTTCAAAGCTGCACACACAGAACCCCAAACATAACACACAGATTCCTAAACCGTGGCTTCCCTTTGCAACAAAACCCTGCCACCACATATCGTAACACGTTCCCAAAACGGAACACGTGTTTTCATTTGGTAAACACAGCCACATTTTCACATGACACACACATACCATTCATTGCTTAGACACGAGTAGCCTTTGGGGGAACATTACCAAGCATGGAGAGAACACCGAAGAGCAAAACTGAAAACACCATCGTCTAAAGGGAACACGATGAATTACACTGAATGTATGACCGTGCCCACTTTTCTCTGAGACAAACATTAGACATCCCACAAAATATGAGACAAAACATTTTATTTTTACAGTTAAACCCCCTCACCCCCTCTCCCATTCAAGCATAATCATGGGGCATCATGCCTCCGCTCTCTGTCTGGCCAGAGGGCCTCATCAACATCCTCCTGGTCCAAACAGCGCTGGGAGCACCGCCTCGAGAGCCTCATGAAGCCCTGACAGGCCTCAAAGGCCACATCTCTACAAGCCTCCCTCCTCCATGGCTTGAAGCAGTGGGACCTTGCTCTGTGGATTCCTTTCGTACACCTTCCACCTCCAGGCTGAGAAAAACTCCTCAGTGGGATTGAGGAAGGGGGAATAAGGTGGAAGGTATAAAATGGAAAACCGTGGGTGGTCCTGAAACCACTCATACACCTGGGTAGCCTTGTGGAAACTTACTTTTCTGCTGCAGTCCCTGATTGCAAATTGCTCGCCAGACCCGAAAGTTTAGAGATTTGAATATTTGTGTGTTGTTGACTGAAGCTTTGAGGATTTATGTGAGAAGTGTTCGTAAACCTGAAAATTGTGTGCTGTGTTTTGACAGCAAGGTAATGTGAAACTGACATCAGAGTGTAAAGGAGGAAAATCAGAGTTCTAATATGATAAGGAAATCTTAAGTAGTGATAAACCGGGTCAAGCGATCGGGAACAGAAGTAGAGGTTGTGAAAATTGTGCCTCATTTTTGCTTTTTGAGTTTTAGCAATCGAAAAAAACTGTAAGAATGAAACCTCCGCGCTTCTCCTTTAAGCTTGTCTCTGAGTCACTGTTGCACAACTTCCTGCTGTGAGGACTTATAGATTTTTGCTGCACATTTATCTGTTCTATCAATCTTTTTTTTTTTTTTTGCAGCCTCAAAAGCGAGAAGACCTTATCAGTTCTCTGGTAAAATAACAGTTAAAGCTAAAGAGAAGAGTTATTCCAAGCTTGAAATCCCATACCAGGCAGAGGTTTTAGACGGGTGAGTTCATTTAGTTTAGAAAATGAAACAGAAAATTAGTTTGTGGTAGCATGTATTTGCAGTTTTACCTTGTTTTACTTTCTTGTGGCAGCTACCTGGGCTTTGACCACACCGCCACGTTGTTTCACATCAGAGACAGCCCTGTGGAGCCAGTGGACAGGCCCATCTTCCTCACAAATGCCTTCAGTTTTGCAATCCGGATACATAACGTGTCGCTGCCTGAGGAGGCAAAAACTATGTTCAAAGTGAGCGCTGGCAGAACTGGGTCACAAACTGTCAGACGGCAGAATACCTTCATATTTCTTCTTCTTTATCGTGTAGGTGCAGAACTTCAGCACACCTGTTGTCATCCCTCCACACAAATCCTGTTATATGTTCTCCCTCCTCTTCCGGGCCATCCGGCCATCCATCCACATAGACAGCAACATCCTGCTCATCACAAATGCTTCCAAGTTTCACCTGCCTGTTCGGGCTTACACGGGCTTCTTGGAGGTAAACAGTGGGTGCACAGTACTAGATGGTGTAGACATGATCAAACAGAGAAGAGTGCAGCTACAACTTAAATGATCGCTGCTCAGTTGGAGCACCGTTGTTTTAAATCTGAATACCACTTATTTTGATGTTTGTTTTGACTGGTGCTTATCTGGAGCATCCCGACTCCAAAATGAAAACACTAAACATTTCTACAGAACGTGTCGGTCTCTAAAATGCAGCAAAACCGTGCTTTTTAGGTGGATTGTTAAAGCATTTAGCCAAAGCCTCAGTGTTTCTTGGTTTCTTATTGGATCGCAATAACAATAGTTTCTCCTCATAGCAGATTATTGATGTGCATTTAAAGATGGCTTATGATCAAGTTATGGGCCATTCCCATCTGTACCGGGTCGGCCGGGTAGCGTAGGTTGTTTACATATCTGGGTGGCCTGGTATTTTTCCGGGCCAACCAAGGCTCATTCTCAGCCCTCTTCTCGAGGGGGTCTGCTTCAGGCCGACCAGGGCCAACACACCCACTGCTGACAGCAAATTCACACCTTCCATTAGAGCAAGCCTCTGATTGGTGGGTAGAATCAGCCCACATGGGCTTAAGACAAGGATGTGTGGAATCAACCGGGCCAGGCTGGGGCCGACTGGGGCTACCCGGCCCGGGCCGACCCGGTACAGATGGGAATGGCCCAATAGTCCACCTTAAACAACCCAACTAGCAAATGGTTGCAGTTTTTTCTTCACACAGACACGTCATCGTTCTTTGGATGTTTGCACTTTCCAGTCTTACTCTAGAGATTATATTAAGACTTTTAAGAATTTGCCTTTTTTCATTTAGAGGGTGTTCTACGACGTTTGTACGTCCACTTATGAGTCCATGGACGAAAGTGAACCTTAAGAGTCCACAGCTTATATAAACGTGTTTATCTTTTCTTGTAAAACTACGCTTTAGTCCTCGAAACACTTCCTGTTTGTTTAGGTTTACTTCTGTTTGTGTCAGTGACTTCACCCACCGTGTCACTTTTCTAAAACCTGCTGAAGCACGTGTGTTAATAATTCCTGTTTTCTCTCTCTGCTGTGAACAGCCACTTGTCCTGCCCCCGAGTCTGAAAAACAACATCCTAGACTTTGGTGTCCGCAGCGCTACAGACACCAGCAGCATCATATTCGTGGTTGTCAACAGTAACCCTATCGAGGTTAGGTGCTGCACCATCTCACCATGTAATGCTTACCACTGTTTGGAGGCAGTTTGAGAGGACGTCCCTTATCACACACTGAAAATCTTTGTTGGTTCTCTGCTGTTGTGATATTTACACGATCCTTTGACAGGCTATCCGCGGGTCCTTAAAAGTCTTAAATTTTCTTTTCCAAATTTAAGGCCTTGAAAACCCTTAAAAATGACAAATAATCCTTAAATACAGTTTCCAAAGGTCTTAAATTACCAAAGACCCAATAAACTAGATTAGTTTATTTCAATGACATTTTCGTGGACTTCTAGTTAGTGTTCAGCATTTTTTGTGTACGATGTTGGCGTAAGCGGAACCGTACACATTCAGTTGGTTGTGAAAGGGGGCTATTTTTAGATGAGCACATTAGCTGTTAAGCTAGTGGGAGCTTGCGCCATGGAGAAGTGCAAGTTTAATGGTAAATGGATGGCCAATCCCACGTTCGCGACGTGGTTAGGACCGATTCCAGGCAATAGCTGGAAATTATAGCTTAAATTAAATAATAATTAAAAAAAGCTTAAATTTGGTCAAATTGGCCTTAAAAAGGTCTTAAAAAGTCTTAAATTTGGCTCCCTTAAACCTGCAGATACCCTGTTTGAGCTATCGGAGCTTTTTAGTAGTTTGAGTACAGCTAAATAGTCATGCTGACTTCCTCAGCTTCACAAACTTATCTGTCTCACATTATTCAGTGAAAACAAGTTGTCTAAGAGAGTGACGGACTTTTGTTCTCCAGCTGGAGATAAAGTCCTGGCTGGTCACAGGGGACAGTCTTTCCATGGAGCTGCTCAAGATGGAGAGGGGAAACACAACGGTGGCCCTGAGTCGCCTGCAAGAGCTGCACAACACTTCAGCCTCACATCACAAAACTGTAAGATCTCCACAGAGTCACATGATCACATCTGCAGTTTAGTGGAAGTCGTGTGTTCGGACTAGAGTGGGATGCAGGCAGAATGCATGACTTCTACAGGAAATTCAAACTTTGAAACTTTTCATATTCGGCTGTTGTGAAAGCTGTGTTGCATCATTTTAGACAACCTTGTTTTGTTTTTATTAAAAAGAACACAAAGTTACCGTTTTAGTTTATCTAGGGTAAGGTGGATGCTAATGATCCACTCCTAGGGAGGTTTAGCTAGTTAAAGAAGCTTTAAGAAAATCTTTTTGGGATTTAAAGGAAAGTGGAACATATACAAACAAAGCCGTCACTGGGCTGTTGGTGTCCCGCTGAGACTTTTGAGACATGGTTTATATCTGGCTGGGTCACATTCAACATGGTTACACATAACATTTAGTGAAAATGTTCATGTTACTAAATTTAGTTTCAACATTTCTAAATTTGTTCACACTGTCTACCTTTTATTTTATTAGCAGCCTGCTTTCCAGCCTGACCCAAAGTTGCCCCACATGTCCAGCACTTTCTGATTCACACAATCCAAATAGAGAAAGGTTTGGAGCAGGTCCCGGATGGGAAAACTGTTTTTAAAAAACGTTAGTCATGCTAAATTTTTAATTCATTTCAAAATGCAGGCAACAAGGGGGGAATTATGATGTCAGAGCAGGTTGAATCAAAGTTTTAAGGAAAGCAAAATGCACTCGGAATAAATAAATCCAGTACCAAAACACAGGTTCAGGCACAGAAACATCCTCGTTCTTTAATGTTGGGCACACACGCAACACTTTTGATGGTGTTGAAACGGCGCTCTGTTATCTGATGCTGGTGGTGAAATGTTAACATGCTTTTAGACGATGAAGCTGCAGTGTTTGCTCTCCCTCGGTGGGTTCCTGCTGTAGAAGCTGCTTAGGTCTCTCAGTAGGACTCTGCCTGCTGATGCACTTCTACCTGCAGTACGCATACATCAGCAGACAGTGTTCTGTCTAATTAGGGCAAAAGTTGGTTTTATTTTGGTTTTATGCTGTGAACATCAGTCAGTGGGTGCTGTATGAAGACGTGTGTCGGCTGGAGGAGAGGAAGCTGTAATTGATTACTGACATTTTTAGGATCTGCCTGTTTCTGAGCACCAATGTTTACAAGAAAAGCCCCGGAGATGCATTTCAGAACTTTACACGAGCAGCATGTGGTTGTAGTGATGGCTTCCATAATGTCCTAGCCTGTTTTTCAAATAGATGTAATTGTTTAACATAAAGGGACATTTTTAAGGCTCTGAGCAGGTTTGGTGAAATGAGCAACTTAAACAGAGGCTTTAGTCAGGTATCACCTTAAAGCTGATTATGACCATCGCTTCATGAAGTCTGCTATGAAACGCTGCTGTTATCAGTGACTCACTGTAAACCAGGAGGTAAAAAGTTGGTACATTAGTTCTGAGACGACGCTGAGCGTGACCGTGAGCTGAGCCTCAATACGGGCCAAACAGACGTCTAGTTGGTTTCCTCTGCTCTGAGTCTGTTTGCTTTGGTAACTTTTTCCTTTGGTTTAGCTTCTTGTCACACAGAGAAAATACAAACAAACCAAAATACATCACTGCAAGCCCTGTGAGAACTTTGACTCTGCTGATTGATCAGGTGTGTTTGTGGGAGGGGCTATCTGAAGTAAATAGAGGAAGAAGGTGCAGAATTATGAACCTGAGCTAGCTAATAACGCAGCCGAACCACCTCTACCCGAGTAGTTTATGAACTCGACATGTTTTGTGTGTCAGAGCTGACTTGGCTGGCCGTTTTGTTTTGTTGTCAGCTAGTTAGGAGCTACTTTGATGCTACTGATGTTTGTGTGTCCAGCATCCCAGAATGCAAAGCACACCTGGCAGCGGGAAGGCATTCGGCTCAGACCTGTAGCACACACCTGGTAGTTTTGTCGTAACGAGTTCAAACAGGCCACTCTGGACTTTGTCTGGAACTCGACTGACCCCACTTGCTCCAAAAGTTCTCTTTGTGGTTCTTTAGCTCCACATCTTGGTGTGATTACCATGTTCCTACCTGCACAAACAAACCACTCCCAGTGGGAAATTAAGCAGGATTTTTCATTCAAACTAAACCAAACACTCCATGTGTGAAACGCCCTCAGAGTGGTTGGTGAGGGTTCTCAGTCATCCAGAGCAAAGGTAACTGGTGACACATCACAGTAATTACCCAACTCCTTCTTTAATGCAGCTTTCTGATGTTTAGTGGTCGCTACAGTCAGTCTGGAAAAATCCAAATTAGGTTGGACCAGGTTGATGAGCTAATGACTCGTCACCGTGGGACAAAGACCAAAAACGGCTCCAGTATCAACACTGTCCCTTCAGTTTCATGCAAAGGTGTTTTCTATCAGTCTTTACACTGGCGTTGGTGCCTGGGGCTCTTTCAGCTGTAATATCATATTTCTGCAGAAAGGGACATCATCACCACTTGAAAACCTTGAAAACTCACCTAAAAAGTGCTTGAATGTTTCCTAATCGCTTTCTTTTCCCGTCTGTTTGCTACGCCAGGTGTGTGGGTTGTTGAGAGATTTGTTTAATTTAAATTTTTTTATCTCTTTTAGGTGATTTTAGCATCAGGCTACTACGCAGCATTCAGGGTGACATTGATAGCCAAGTCCCTGGAGGGTGTGTATGATGGAGCGGTACACATAACCACAGATTATGAGGTGGGGTTAGCCGTTGTTTTAGGCAACAGATCATAACTTTAGATGAGATGTTGTGCTCACTTGATTTGTTTTTTGCTTTTAGATATTAACCATTTCGGTGAAGGCTCTCATTGCTGTGGGAACCTTAAAAAGCTCACCCCAGCACATTGTTATGCCACCTTCATTTCCAGTAAGTAATGCTCAGGAGTAGAGGCCGACCGATTTGGTGTTTTTTTAAAGGCCGATACCGATTTTTAAAAATTTTTGTTGCCAATGACCAATAACTAAAGCATATGTATATAATATATATATATATATATATATATATATATATATATATATATATATATATATATATATATATATATATATATATATTCAATTCAAGTTTATTTATAAAGCGCCAAATCACGACAAGAGTCGTCTCAAGGCACTTCACATAATAAACATTCCAATTCAGGTCAGTTCATTAAGCCAATCAGAAATAATGTTTCCTATATAAGGAACCCAGCAGGTTGCATCAAGTCACTGACTAGTGTCAGTGACTATACAGCAATCCTCATACTAAGCAAGCATGCAGCGACAGTGGAGAGGAAAACTCCCTTTTAACAGGAAGAAACCTCCAGAGAATCCTGGCTCAGTATAAGCAGCCATCCTCCACGACTCACTGGGGATGGAGAAGACAGAGCAGACACACACACACACACACACACACACACACACACACACACACACACACACACACACACACACACACACACACACACACACACACACACACACACACACACACACACACACATATATATACATATGTATGTGTGTGTATATATATATATATATATATATATATATATATATATATATATATATATATATATATATATATATATATATATATATATATATATATATATGTGTGTGTGTGTGTGTGTGTGTGTGTGTGTGTGTGTGTGTGTGTGTGTGTATATATATATACACGTTTTAGCAGTACATTGATTGTAAAAGACAACTGAACACTCACTGTGTGCAATATAAATTAAGTCAATAAATCTCTTAATATTTATTGAAATTCAAATATAAAACAAACAAATGGTGTGTTGGGGTCCTTCGGGTCCTTTCTTCAGTCTAGTAGTGGCAGCAGTTGTCCACACAGATGCCTGATTTTTAAAAATATCATCGGCCGATAAAGGAAACAGTTGAATGTATCGGTCGGCCTCTACTCAGGATGGCGATTTATAGTTTTAACACCAAAAGTGTGATTTGCGTTTACTTGTTTGAAAACGTTGTGATGTCCCCAGGGAAAGATTGTTCACCAAAGTTTCAACATACAGAGCTCCTTCACACAGAAAGTCAGGCTACAGCAGATTCGCTCTCTGACGGAGGACCTCCGCTTTTATTACAAGCGCCTTCGCAACAACAAGGATGAGCTGGAACCCAGACGCAAATCTAAGGTGGGAATTTCTCTTCCCAGTTTCAAATCACGATTTTCCCAGGAAACATAAACTTATTTTCATTTTCCCATGTTTTCAGGTGGCAAATGTTTATTTTGATGCCAGTTTGCAGTGTGGTGATCACTGCTATGTGGGCCTCCCATTTGTGCTTAAATGTAAGTGCTTGTGTTTGTGTGTGTGTGTGCGCGCGTGTGTGTGCGCACGTGTGTGTGTGTTTTAATGTGACGCAGAATTCTGGTTAAAAAGAAATTTCTTTCTGTCAGCTGAGTCCAAACCCCACAGGTTGGCTTTACAGGAGGACATCTGGGATGCTGATGTTGACCTCCACCAGAAACTCCTCAAACGATGGAAGGAGCTCAAAGAGCTCTCAGGACACAAGTAAAACTATTTAAAACTGAACAGAGTAGACTAGAAAAAGATTTTATCTGATTCAGATTCAGTAATGGTTCAGAGATTTGGTAAAACCATTGATTTGAAGTTTCACCAGATTTTCTTTTTCTTCTAAGAATTGAAGCCGTGTTTGAAGTCAACACAGACCTTCAGAAAAACGTTCAGGCTAAAATAACAGCACAGTTAACCTGGCCTTCACTTGTCAACTCTTCACAGCAAATCACGTTTCCCCTCACCAACACAAACAGCTCCTCTGTGAGTACAAAACACCCGTCTATGGTTGAAAGTGTGTTTCAGGATTCTGAGATGAAACGTGTCTGTTTCTCTGCAGGATGAGGAAGTGATTCTGCAGAACCCTGCAGACGTGCCCGTCTACGTTCAGGTTCTCCCGTTGGCGCTGCTACCCAACCCCTCTGTGTTTTCAGGAAAGCTAGCTGACAGGTGACGCTCCCACAAAACTCACCATGGTCTATTCCTTCACACAGCCCTGATTTTTAACCTTTTCACTTTTTCAGGTTGCCTTTTGAAAATTTGTCGAACATAAACCTAGATGTGAGCACGTTAGAGTTCCAGGTTCACAGAAATCAGGTGAGTGGCGCTTCAGTGATCATCGTATTCCTCTTTTCTTTGGTTGTGGAAGCTGTCGTCTTTAACAGACTCGGTTTGTGCTCCAGACATCCCCAGTAAAGAGCAGTTCAGGGTTTGTTGAAGGCTCAACTAGACCCTTTGTTTATAATCTCCTGCTTTTGCCTGGAGAAGTCAAGTCGTTCAGCGTGAGGTTCACCCCCATCAGCAACCACAGCGTCTCCTCCCTCCTCATCGTCAGGTAATGCCTGCTCCTGAGGGGGTATTTCAGCCACTTTTTCATGTCTTTCTGTCTGTGTGAATGTTATAAGTTATTATCGTACTCATTGTTGGTGACCACCTGAATGCTCTCTGTTTAGAACAATGGTTCATGTCCTTCTGGGCCGATGAGCTAGTCCGCATGCAGCACAGATCAAGTTTCAGACACATTCATATGACTCCGTTTTATAAATCTTTACACTAATTTCTGCTGAAATTAACATGAGACATTGGTGACAAGTTTGAGAAATCCAGGCTGCTCCCAAAAGTTGTCTAAGGCCCTGTCCACACGTAGCCGGGGATCTGCCAAAACGTAGATATTTTTCTACGTTTTGGCCTGTCATCCACACGAAAACGGATCTTTTTAAAAACTCCGGCCAAAGTGAAGATCTGCGTTTTCTCCGTTTTGGGTGTCTGCGTGTGGACGGACAAAACCGGAGTTTTAAGGTCCGCAACGTCACTTTCCGCGACAAAAAAATGCTGACATCACGTGTGCGACCTGTGTTTACACTAGCCGACAGCATGGATGCCCTCAGAGCTGCGCTCGCTTTATCAATTGTCCAAGCGCTTTCTGCTTGTTTGTTTTTGCAAGCGGAATTACTGCTCCTTGTGGAAGACCACAGACGAAGGACGAGGTTAAGAACGGGGGAAGTACTGCCGCCTACAGGTCTGGCGTGTCCTTAACAACGTATTTATCCGGGTACGTGTGGACAGAGTTTCTTTAAAACGAGGTGGTGTGATGCAAGTTTTTGGAGGGGCGGATATTCGTTTTTAAAAAACCCGGCTACGTGTGGACTAGGCCTATATATAAATTAAAGTCAGTAGTGTCAAAAAGAATAATCCTGTAAAGAGCAACGTATAAAATACATCCTGAAGCTTGGGAAGTTGTGGGAAGTAGGCCGGATATGGACTGTGAACTGGCACTCAGGTTTTTGTACTGTATTTTAAAATGGATTTCTTATTGTATTTTCATAGGATTTATTACGGTATTTTACAGGGATTTCTTAGTGTATTTTAATGGTCTTATCTCTGTCCTATTGTGTTGCATTTTATTGGTGTACAGCACTTTGTTTGTCCATTTTGGCCATGTGAAAGCGCTCTATAAAGTTGATTTGATCTGAAACTAATCAATAAGAGAAGTCCTCATCCTTCGCTGCCTTCAGGAAGCTGTCTACAGCAAGTTAAACAGACCTTATATATAAGGTTGACACAGAAACACACTTCAAAATGGCTGAAATATATAATTAATATCATCAAGAGAGGAGCATTTCCTGTAATGTCAGTATGTGGCAATCTTGTGCTTTATTCAGGAATAACCTGACGGTGATCGACACGATCGTACTTCACGGACGAGGCACAACTGAGAGCCTGAAGTTAGCAGGGAAGCTTCCAGGACAGGGCAGCTCTCTGAGGTTTAAGATGACTGAGGCCCTGCTGAAGGACTGCACAGAGAGTGAGTCTGAGATCTTTTTGTTGTAAACTCTCTCATCTTTAATAACACACCCACACTAACACACACTCATTATGGTAGAATCAGAGCTTGTTCTTAAAGCGGTGGATTTAAAGTCCGTTGTGTTGTGTACCTGCAGCAGACACATTTCTGAAGAGTCGAGAGAATTTGTGACAACTGAGAATCATTTTTACCACCCAACACTTTAAATCTCAAATATTTTGTAGATTAGAGCAGCAGCATTAAAGCCCAAACTCATTGATGGGCTTTAATGCTGCTGCTCTTCTGTGTCTGTAAGTCTCTGTCCATAAGCACAGCATGTCCTCCTTGTCACATAAGTGAAGGTTTATATAAAACTGTGATTGTCCAACAGACGGGCTTAGTAACTGATGCAAGTTGTTGCTAATATCAATACCTAAAAGGTGCAGATGGTTTTATGCCTAACAGTTGGTGTGTTAGTGAAGTATCTCCTGAACTACTAGACAGATTTTAATGTAAATCTTAGGTTTGAACTGAATGTACATTTACACCTGATAGGTGATGGCTGCAGTCAGTTTTACAGTTATTGAGTTAAAGCTGCAATAGCAAATCTGCAAAACAAACAGTCACAGAATCTCACACCTCCCATCGACTGTCATCCCTGGGCCATGCCCCCTGATGTGGGAACGCACATCGCTGGAGGAAACGAGCTAATGCTAAACACCAGTCGCAATTTTTAGGTCCTAACGTCTCTTGTTGTCCATGACTTCAAATGTTTTTCTTTTTGGGACTCTGGTAGTTTGTCCTAAAGTAGAAGTGGTAGCAGCTGGCTGTTTCTCCTTCTCTGATATGGAGCGGAGAACCTCTCACACCAGTGGTGTTCTGTTGCTAAATACGCGAGTGTGTATTGAGTAGAGGAACCAGGGAGAGCAAAAGTGAGGTGGTTCGTTGAGACCGACAGCCAGATGGTTTGAAGTAAATACTTCAAACTTACAGTTTTATTGGTGGAGGTTTTTAGACAAATGCAAATGAATCACTTTATTAATCGTTTCCATTTTTAATCTCAATATATTTACAGTTGTATTATGTTGGAACGTTGTGAAGAGGCATGAAAAAAATTAAGGTAGCCTGTTTTTCCATAGTATGTTTAAATGCTTGAATTTAACCAAAGTGGCCTGTATTTGATATGGCGCCTTCTAGAGTCCTGGAACCCCCCAAAGTGCTTTACAACACAGTCATTAACCCATGCACCTCCAGGTGGGGATGCGCTACGATGTAGCCACAGTTGCCCTGGAGTGCACTGACGGAGGCGAGGCTGCCAAGCACCGGCACCAGCACCGGCAGGCAAGGGGGGTGTTAAGTGTCTTGCCCAAGCACACAATGACGGCGACAAACTGAGCGGGGGTTCGAACCCACAACCTTCCGATTATGGGGCGAGCACTTTAAGTCTCTTTCCGGAGTATTTCTTTTATCCAATGGCACCATCTAGTGGCTGACGAGCATATCACACAAATAATTTCTCCTCCCGTTTTTTAAGATGGCGACTTCATGTTTCTTGTTTATTTAAGTCCTTCTGTAGCTGACAGTCAGAGCAAAAACACGTTGTTTTACGAGTATTATTCTCATGTCATGTTGTGTTTTCATATATTTATATTTTAAAGACTTATCTGTGAAGAGTTCATCAACTCTGCATCAGCCGAGGTATTCCTTAAATTTGAAGCAAGTAAGCGGTAGTCTAACTCCATTGGTTAGTTCTGGTCGGCGCTCAGTTTCCTATTGCACGGAGCTCTGCGGGGCAGGGGGCGTGCTTAGCAAAAAAAAAAAAGACGTATTGCTTACATTATAGCTCAGTACATGATGAGATCATCACTTACAGATTTCTCAAACATCATGCATACTTTCTGAAAGGGGAAAACTCTGGAAAGATACTTTAACTACTGTGCCACTGTCACCCCGTGTGTGTGTGTGGCAATACTGATTGTACAGTTAAGTACATTAACAAGACTTAAAAGTTCTTTAAACATGTTTACATTTTCTTTTGTCAGAAGTGCAGGGGAGCTTTCCCTTCACATTGTTTTCAAGCACTGATCAAATTAGCTTCAACTCCGTCCTTTCTCAACTTAAAAATGATCTATTTGAAAGTCTTTCTTTGCGGGGGGCTAGCGAGCTGTAATGGAGTGAGACGCATTCTCGGGAACTCCCGCAGAACTTCCATCACAAGTATATATTAAAAGATATTTAAGCTCAAAAACATAACAACTAAGTACAGTAACTGCCGGACTAACACTACACGGCAAGGCGGGGGGAAAAAAACGCGAGTGGCAGCGAATCTTCGAAAATACAACTGCGAAGCTGGGTCGGCCACTAGGCCTCAAACCGCTTCGGCTAAAAGTCCAGAAAAACCCGGCTCGACCCAACCAGTACCTGAAGTAAGGACAGGCATGGACACCGCAATGATTAAAGTCGACATCTTCGCCTCGTTAAGAAAAGAAATATCATCTGTAATAAGAGAGGAGCTGAAGACCGCCCTGTGTTGGTCTTTCCTTCTATGAGACCATACAGGTACGGAGTAAATGGAGGTAAAACCTGTTGTTGGTAGAGAGAGTGGAGTCAATAACCAGAAGATGATCTGCTTTTCGCCGCTGCAGTGGGAGAACACGACAGCTTCCCCAGCTAAACCCGCGTTTAGCTCTTGTCTGCTGCATCAAGTGTTCTGCCTCCCTCTGACCATACAGCTGTATTTATTAAGAAATGATGGAACGTAACATACGCAGTTTGCCATTTGCACCTGCAGCAGCATACGTCATTAGTCTTGATAAGCAGGAACTAATTGCTTTGTTAGTCAGGAACTTATACATCACAAGGTCATGTAATTCTAAGATAAGCAGGAAGCATCCTGAAACATCCTTTGCTAACAAAGACAGTTTTCTTGTACTGAGGAACTGAGAGAAGGAAGGAATACTTTCACTCCCTTTCTGTGCAGGGGAAAATATGCAGCTGTTCAGCTTGTGCAGAAAAACACTGAGAGGCATTTGATTCTTCCATAATGTAGAAAATAACATATAATAATGTATAAAAGAGCTTATAATAATGTATAAAAGAGCTTATATGAGAGATACATATATTTTCTCCTGGCAAAGGACTTTTAATCGCTGAAAAAATAAATTTTTGAAGTGAAAACCGAGATAGCGAACAACACGGCAGCTATCCGCTCAGAGGTGGAACAGGTGCAAGCAAACATAAAGACTGTCGAGGAAGGGCTGTCGGCATGGTCGGACGAAGTCGTGTTGGTGCAAACTACAGTAACGGATCTCAAAAAGCAAGTTGACATTCTAAAAGCAAAATGCGAGGACATGGAAGGCAGGATGAGAAGGGGAAACATTCGGATCACTGAAGTGGCGGAAGAGTCCGGATCAAGTTCCCCCACCGTGGTGTCCAAACTCCTTAAAGAGGTTCTTCACCTGGACAAAGACATGCTGATCCAGCGCTCGCACCGCAGCCTGATGCAGAAAAGACCCGTAAGCAAGCCCTGCGTAATTATTGCAAAGCTGCACCTCGAGGGGCCAGAGACCGTGGCGGCCAGCTCAACTACAAGGGGAATGCCATCGCTATATTCCCGGATTACACCGCGAGTGCGGCCAGCGTCAGAGCGGCGTTCACGCCCGCCAGGAAAATGCTTCCGGGAAAACCTGGAATCCGCTACGGTCTGCTGTATCTGGCCAGACTCCACATCACCAACACGTGCGAGGAACGGGAGTTTGCGGATGCTGTGAAGGTGATGGACTACATAAAGAAAAACATCCTTCAAGAGGGGGAGTTGGAGCATTAAAGACCAATATCCTTTACTGGTAGTGTGGAGAAAAGAGGGGGGAGGTGGGAGGGGCGAGGTAGAGAGTTTGACATCTTCAAAACTGTGATCTGCATGATAACTGAAGGAAAAAATATGACTAACACCAGAAAGTTGAATTGAAGATATTTCAGCTACATTTAGGTAATGAATAGGGGGAGATGCAAAAAATTATCCTAAAGTATATAATTGCTGACTGTTTGGCAAGATTACGCTTATACATTATATACCATCTTTTAGTTCTTTTTAAAACACAGGAAGGTTTTATTTACCTGCAACACTTCGTTTGCGGCTGCAAACTTCGTCAGGCTGACGCTGATGGTGGCGTCACTTCCTTCTCCGTTTATCCGCGGGCAGCAGAGGACGTTGTCGCCACCATCAGCGTCAGCCTGACGAAGTTTGCAGCCGCAAACGAAGCGTTGCAGGTAAATAAAACCTTCCTGTGTTTTAAAAAGAACTAAAAGATGGATTTAGAATTTCAACACAGCTATACATTATATAGTTACATCTGAAAATATACATTTTTTAGTTTAATATGTCATTATTATAAATGAGGTTCTGAGGTAACCCGTTGTGCATAACCACTGACTGAACTGTGCTTGGCTTTTGCCCAAACCAAAGAAAAACCGATTCCTTATGGACTGTTAGCAAAGCTGCCTGGCATTGTGCCCCACAGGACCAACCAAATGCACCTGTTGGCCATGTTCCTGACTATTGTTGTTCTATTTTCTGGAACTGCGCTGCTCTGGGTGGCTGCATGTTGGAGTAGCTCTGTTGACTATATGTAAGTTTTGCCTTTTCTTGGGCATTTTTTCTTCAAGTTTCTCAAGAAAAACTGTATTTTTGGACACTTAACTTTTCTGTTTCTGGTGCTGTGAAGCTTGGAGGATTTTTACTGCTATTTTTTCACTTTTTGAGCATTTGTTATGATGCGTAACCATGGCAACAAGCTGTTTACAATTGGGAGCAGCTGATTGACATTGGAAAGGCTGAAATAATACCTCAACTGAAGCCAAAAATCCCAAATGAGCTAAAACACAAGAAGCGTGGGTGCAGAGCGGGAGCAAAACGGAGACAGAGAAAGAGGAAATTCAAACCATCTCTTCCATCGATCATAATGGGCAATGTGAGATCACTGGCCAACCAGATGGATGAACTCCAAGCCCTTTCAAGGACT